TATAATTCCCTAAAGCTCCTAACAAATATGCAGGAGAAAGTGAAAATGGATTGGACACTCGCTGAGGGGGCCACTGGGTGACATCGCGCGTCAAGCCCTCGAGTGGAACCCGAAAGGGAAGCGGCGAGTGGGACGTCCAAGGGTGAGTGACATGGAGGAGATTCTGTGAGGAGGAGTTGAAACAGTGTGGACTAACATGGATGCAGGTGAAAAGTACAGCAGAAGACAGAAGCAAGTGGAGACGTGCAGTTGAAGCCCTATGTTCCACTAGGAACCCAAGGGAACAATAATAATAATACTTAAGCTCCGAAAGGAACATTGGATTCTAGCAGCATACCTCATATGCATATTTATAGACAGCAAGATGGTGTGGCTATGGGTTCACCTTTAAGGTCGGTTACTTGTAAGTTTGGAAAATGGTCCACTGAAACCGAAAACGTCTTTCTGTATAAAAGGTACGTTAATGACACTTTTTCAAGTATTGGTTTTTGTAGGGATTTTGTTTGATTGCATGGAGGATTTAATCATGAGCTGACATCAGTGTGGTTCTCTAACTGATGTCAGCTCATGATTAAATCCTCCATGCAATGACACTTTTGTCATCTGTAATGATAAATGTGACCTGAATAATGTCCTTCAGGTTTTTAATAGCTGCCACCAAACTTACAACTGAAGCAGAGGCCGGAGAGACAATGTCATTTTCGGACGTCCGACTAACAAAGAAGACTGATGGGACTCTAAAGAAATCAATATATTGAAAGCATACGTGTAACGGCCAGCTGGATACCCACCAATGGCGAACGGAACTTCATAATATCTCTTGTGACTAGAATCCGCCGAATATGCAGCCAAAAATCAGTAGAAGAAGGGATCACTCTTTTGAGGAAGACACTAAGTGAGAATGGGTATCCACTTCATTTGATAGACAAACACATAAAGCCGAAAATCAACAGAGAACAACCCATCTCTGCACTGAAGAAGACGCTAAGCATGAATATGTCATTCAAAGGTGACCTTATGACCAATATCCTAAAGAAAACAATATCTAGTGCCCTGAAAAGAACATTCTCTCCTGCTAAATTACGATTTGTATTTTCAAGCCGTTCATTGTTCATCAACAACTCCAAAGATAAACTATCGCATTCGACCACTTCTGACCACCAATTTACTTGCTCACATGGAGCGAGATATATAGGTTATTCGATGCGTGTTTTATCTAAAAGAGTCAAAGGACATTATCCCGCTTGGCTAAGAAAAGGTAACAGTGGATCAATAAGGAGTGCTATAAATGAACATATATTTAACACTGGTCACTCAATGGGTAAGGGGAATTTATTCAAAGTCGTCTACAAAGTCAAAAGAAGCCTCCGGAAAGCGTTAAGCTTCCGTATACTTTGGATTACTTAGGCCTTAACGATCCGGATAGAAAACCCTGATTTATGTTTACAGAAGAAACTTCTCCACCTCCTCCTTCTACGCTGGGTGTAACTCCAAGTTCTAGTGCTTTGTGAATAATGTCCTTTGTTCTGTTTTTCTTCTTGATTTTTGTATGACGTCTTAGTAAAATCTTCTCAACTAATCCTTTATTTACTCTTTCTACCTATTACATAATTTATTTCGGACACGTGTCTCCATTATCCTCCTACTTCATATTACGCAACCATTGTCAATACCTACCAATCTCCACCACCCCCACCCCCCAACCTAGATACAATTTTGATTATTCATCACATTTTAAAAACATTTTGATGACGTTAACTAATTTTTATTTTTGTCTGACGATCCTCGTGTACACACACACACACACAATAATTATATATAAATGCGATTGTACAGCTAAGTGGATGAATTCGCCAAAAAGAGACTCTTCGCTGAACTTTGTTGCTCTTATATTCATATCTCAATTTCACTCTTTTCTCAGCAATCCGTTTTAGCTGGCGCGACGAATACAAATAAGCTCTCATTTTCTCTTTACATGATCTCCTCTGTGTCGTCCTCAAACCAATGGCCCAACTTGTCGTTTCCCATTCGCGTACCTCTCGAGGGTTTGCTTGGTGCATGATGTCACCCAACGGTCTCCAATCCAACTCCATTTCCTTCTGCATATTTGTCGCGTAATAGATTTTTGGTTGGTTTGTTCCCAGAGTTCCGCATTGCTAATCCTTTCTGACCGGTTATCTGACTTTCAGTATGCAGAGAACGTAGCTGTCAATGAAAGTTTGGAGTAGCCTGTCGGAAATGCTTCCGGTGGCTCACATGCACCATGCCGCTTAACCACATAGAAAGCCTGAATTGATATTAGTGCGGCAATCCGCACTAATATCAGAGTAATGAAGATCTGCCCTGCTTTTCCAATCTGATGTTGACTACTTTTAACATCCTCATCATCCGTGCAGCCTATAGTTGAAACGATGCTACCTAGATAAGTGACAGAAGTGACTTCCTTCAAATATCTCCCATTGATGGTGATTCGTGCTTGTTTTTATTGTTGTTAATCAGACATCTTCACTTGAAGTCCTGTCTTTGCTACTTCTTCTGTCAACTATATTGTTTTTCACTTGTAGAGCTTCAAGCCCTCCAGCTATCAATAAGCTAAAATCACAAAGGTTTCTATAAATAGATAAATAATTCGAAATTGAATTAGAAGGAAACATCGAAATTCTTCAGTACACCGATGAACAAGCAAACATAAATGCGCACGGCAGTAAATATTGATACAATCAAACCAAAGATTATATATTGTATATAAGATGACAGAGGTTTAGAATCAAGAAGAAGAGTTAGAAGAAAATGATTCGTGTGGAAGCGAAAAGATTTGTAAGGTATAAATGAAAGAACAAAAAGGGTTGGAATATTTACGGTGAGTTCAACTAGGTGCGTTAAAATCATAACAAAATTTTAATGCAAAAAAAACCAAAGTCCAGGTATCAGGGTATTGTGACGTTGACATCGCTACCTCTTTGCTTCCAATAGCACTTGCAAAGTGAACTACTACTTACATTTTTGCCTGTATAAAGCCTTGATTTACCTCGACTGATTATCGTATGTCAGTCAGTTGCCTTAAGAAAGTGCAATTATGAATGTCCCTCCTGCTTCACAAACAATGCGCTAAACCGATTCGTATACTTACATTTTAATAATAATAATAACCCTCGTGACTTCAAGTTATTTATCAGCACTATTTTTTATCCCGATAAAGACTCAGATCTTGATCGGTTTAAATTAACCAAGGGAAACAAGTGTTTCAGGTCCTCGCAAAAAATGCCTAGTTCCGATGTGAAGCTTTCAAAATTTGATACATAGTGGATCTCAACCAAACATGTTCAATATTACTTTGTGTACTACCATCTCTCAGTGAGTTTTCAAATAATTGGCAGGGACACAGAACATGTTATAATGAAATTTCTGAGTATACGCTAATGCTGAATTAGATAGTACACATCGTTTATAAGAAGTGAAATGGTTGAATGTGTTGACCACTGCAATTGTTTAGTTGCTGATGTTGTCTCACATGCACGGCATATCTAGCATGTGTCACCTTCGCTGTAGGTGTCATAACCTATCGACTAGCGAGTAAAGTGTGCATCAATTCTCTATATCCTACTGTACAACTGTTAGACTTAACAAATAAAGGTACATATGAAAGGATTAGCGGCTTTTACCATACATAATACGATTTGACCGTTCCCTATATGATAAATAATGAATTTAGGTGTGGAACTTTAGGTAACGCGGGAAGTTCACTGGAAGAGGCACCAGTGATTTAGACAGCTACAATATGTGCTAAGCATGCTGAAACGCAACCTTAACGACAAGGATACGGCCAGAAAAGATTTGAAGGTACTTAGACAGAAAAATTGGCAGCAGGTCATGGAATTATTTACCGACGTGTGTGTAGGCTACCTTAATAAGGACTTCGAAACATGAGAGATTAATCGTTAGGGACATTCGGTAGCATGGCTCACAACCGTTGACAGATTTTTTTCCTTTACGTTCCCAGTGGAGCATGGGACTTCAAGCTAAAGGCTTGAAGTTTCGGTAGCAGTGGTGCTTATTTTTACGGGATGGGGTTGCTAGCCAGCCTCATTTCCAGTCTTTCCTCTTTACCAATCTTATTACTGGCTTAGCGAGGTAAAGGAGTGCGTCGGCCGGGGATCGAACCCTGAACTACCTGCGTGGTTGGCGAGCATTCTACCGCTGTGCCAGCGACGCACCACAGATGACAATGGTGCAGATTTATTCACCATTTATCATCGAAGGCGTGATAATCTTTACTAAGTTACTCGCTTACCCAGACATTTTCGCCCATCTTCATGTCTTGACATTTCTGCTTTATTACTTTCTGGGTGCTTTTCTGATTTGTGGCAATTTGAAATGATGAACTTTTGCATAAAGTTTCACGTTATTAAATCAGTCAGTTAGCTCAAACGATGTTTTCTAGGTGACTTGGAACCATTTGGCATATATCAACAATTTCACAGGTGTTAATTAGTATCGTAACTAACACTGATGGTTTGGAGCATGGAAGTAAATAAATATATGTAGCCATTTTCGTTTCTACATAATCACTTTTATGCCGTAACTTTCTTTAGGGTAATCTGAATGTTGATCATATCACGTCACAAGATGTTTACATTGTCTCGAAAAAGTAATATACTTCATCTACGGGAAAAAAGAGTGACATTATATGAAGGCATTGACTAACTTGGAGTGACTGGCTGAAATGCGAGACAATATTTCTAGCTAAAAAAGCATTCAACACATGACTGTATATATATATATATATAAACTATGTTTATAGAAGCCAGAGAGACAGAGATTTCCACAAACATAGTCCTCTCACCGCTCAATGTTTGTGGAACTATTAGGTCTAAATCTTGGCCAGAGTTCAAATAAAACATGACTGAATAGCTTTGGAAAAAAAGTTAATAATACTTACTACTATATATATATATATGAAGTGTTAAATTATTATGAAATTAATTTCCAGTGCAACTTACGCTTCAGGGTCTTTTGATGTAACTGACAAAGTATATGTGTTCTTTTTGCTAACTGAATCACGTACGAGGAAACAACCTTCACGATTCTCATCTAGTAAAATAGCTTCAGCTTGTTGTCTCGTAATATCTTTGTAATACCAACTATCAAAGTGCATAAAATAAAAAGAAATATGATAAATACAACTGAACATTGTTCATTTTAGATGTTTAATTTATTCCTTTGCATTTTGAGTAGAACATAGGGCTTCACAAGCTACAGATTTTGAGTTTCGGTGGCGATGGGTTTTTTTAAAAATTTTTTCGGGGTTGCAACCATTACACCCAACATCCCCTATTCACCGACCTTACTACCGGCTTAGCGACGTTTACGAGTGCGTCAGTCGGGGGATCGAGTCCTGAACCACCAGCTCCACCAGACCACTTGGTTTACGAACATCGTTTACTATATTCAAAGAGGATAGATAGTAACTATCAACTGGCCAGGTTTATTAAATTGTCTAATGTTTTTAATGATATGTTTATCGAAAAAGAATACAGACATAATACTAATAATGAAAAGTGTGTCGGTGGTCGAGTAAAATAATGTTTGGTAGTGATGCGAAAAATCTGAGTTCGATTCCCAGCCAATGCATTCACCAGCCCGTAATAAGTTCGATAAAGAGGAAAGATAAGGTGTGAGGTTGAAAACCTCATCCGGTAAAAATAACACCACCGCTAACTGAGGCTTTAAAGCTCACGGTTTTGAAGCACTCTATTCAAGTCGGAATGTAGAGGAATATTTAAAAATATAACGAAAGTGGCGAAAGTACGAATTGATGAGAAGGCTGTTTCCTTTTTTTGCTTGATCCAACGAATACAAACAGTTTAAATGAGTTAGCAAGTTTAGCTTAAAGATGAATTCTGCAAATCGTCTGATCTTTCTTTAAAGTATTAGAAGTTAATTCTTGAAAACTTATATGAGAATTAGAAACTAAGAAACTAATTAAAGTCAGTTTGATTTCTTTTTTTAAAAATTAATTATTCAAAAGATAACGTTTACTAGACAGTGAATGAATAACCAGTAATTACAAAGTCTAGCTTTAGAAAATCATGTTACTTAATAAACAGAATTACCAACAGTGGTGTTATATGGTGAGTAATATTAAGATTAGACGTAGAGAGTCTTAGGTATGGGGGAGGAGGGAGGGAAAGTCAGTAGATGAGATTGCGAAGCTATATCGACTGAGATGGCCGGGAAACGTATTACGCCCGCCGAGCCATCACCTTTATCGATAAACGATGCTTCGCAACATAGGATTAAATTGAAAAGAAGAGTTAGGAGTAGTCAAATCAAAACAATGCAATTAATCCATGAGGTGTTTGACAGTTAATTTGAGCCAGTCATACGAGCAGATTTAGACTGTCTTATTGGGATCATCAGGATGCTAAGAGACTGGTGGTGGCGGTGGTGTGACTCAAGATCTTTGTCAATGGCTCCAACGCATTCACTCTTTGTAATCTTTGAGATCCATTGTGTCCTTTTTTTCTTTCATGTAATTGTTTTTTTCTTCGTACATTTCTTCTTATTATAATTCTTTTAAATTTTTTCCTACCTTTGAGTGTTTTATATGGAGTGTGGTGAACTGGACTTCTGCACTTGCTTTGCAAAGGTTTTACGTTGAAACTCAGTTAGTTAGAACCACTAACAGAATGATTTTAAAATCTTTTACTTTTACCGTTGCCGCTATCTGCTATGTCTGTATCAAAAGAAAACATGTTTTTTCCTGTAGCTTTTGTAGAAATGGCATATTTACAAATAATAGCTGGTGTTGAAGCTCCTTTCAAGTTAATACCATAAAATTATCTCATCCGATTTTGGTTTGTTGTATTTTCTCAGGTGGCCGGCATACCATGAAGACGATGGTGCTTTGGCATTGATAGGTAAGTGACATCTTAGGAAATGCTACAAAACCAAGTATAATGTTGCTGTTAACGTATACGCATCAAAAAGTATTTAACCCATGAAAGCCAACAAATTTCTAGCATAAGCGCGTATTCGAGGACACTAGATGCAAAGTTAAGTCAAAATGAGTCACATTTTAGTGAAACAATAATTTTTATTACTGTAATGTAAATTACTGAGAACTGATAGACCACCAATTGTTCAACCAGTGATATATTCTTACTGGTTACTCGTTTTTTGACTCACATAGTCATTTCACTAAGTCCTGTTCACTGCCTTCACGCGGTAGGAGTATTCCTCACAGAAGTGGAAGGGCGAATGAGAACGTCTAGAGCTTGCGACCACACTATTGGGAATCTAGATCTACCTACGAGAGCTGGGAAACCTTGATTCTTAACTTATGGTGTACATGGGCTCCAGAACTACAATAGATTGAATGAAGTATGAATTTGTTTTAGTCACCAGCATCCATGGAAATGTAGCTTCTGTCGCTGCTCCACTGCCCTGTGATTCAGAAACTCGGTGGTAGTTCTTTAAAACAACCACTTGTTTCGGCCTGGGCGTTCGGGCGGTATTCTAGTCATTGAACAAACTATGAGATTTTGTGTGGTGCATCCTCTTCTTCATCTATAATATATCAAGTTTGAGATTTAACAAAGTAATAAATGAGGATGTCACTTGAATGGCGAAGACAACTGTCATTCTTAGGCAGCAGCATATGTCCCTGTCACACAGGATCAGGTACAAGGCGCCTGCGCTCTATCTCTCGTGTGAAATGGAATAATAAGGTGAGCAATGTTAAGGTTAGGCGTCGAGTACTAGGTAAGGAGGGGAAATCAATCGACGAGGCTGTGAAGTTACATCAACAAAGATGGTTAGGATATGTGTTACGTATGCCTAGTCATCGCCTTCCTCGACGAGCAATGTTAGCTGACATAGGGTCAGGCTGGAAAAGAGCTAGCGGCACCAGTCAATGAAATCTACAACAGTTAGTTTAAGCCAGTCAGCCACGTAGGAAGGTGTAGACTTCCTGACTGGTTGGGGTTCTCGGGACGGTAAAAACCAATGGTTGGAAACAATTGGTGACATGGCTCAAAATCGTTCTCAATGGCTGGTGCAGATGCATCCACTCCTTGTGACTTATGATTTCCAATGAAACTGTTTTGTTCTTCGTTACTACTATTCCTTTTCTCACACCTCTGTTTACTGTCTCTATTATGCATTTCTTCTACTTTCTTCTCTTGCTTTGTGTGCTACAAGGAGGGAGGAGTGTGGCGACTTGAACTTCCGCACATTTGTGCAAAGTTCTATGTCGAAAACAGACAGAGAGACAGACGTACAAGGCTGAAACCTACAACCTACACTCACCCTTCTTAGGTTCCGAAGAGTTATGCACATACTAGGATTCATCAAAAAACATTCAACTGAACCCTCCTGTGACAATGCTATCATCACGTGTCTAGTGTTTCATTGCATGCATTCATAGGATGAAATTAATTATTATTTCCAAATACAGAAAGAAAACGTCTGAATCTCACAAAACAAGATCTCTGTGTAAGTATTATGAGTAACAGAGACTAATAAATTTGTTGAATAATAATGATAAAACAAACAATTTTGAATTGAAATGTCTGATTTCCTCATCAACAACAAAAATCCAACTTTAATTTTTCGGTGTAAAAGGGCGTGTGTACTGCTCAGCGGTCCGCTCCATCCTCTTTTATGGATGTGAGACCTGGCCATTGAGAGTGGAAGAAATGAAAAGGGTGGCTAGCTGTCTTCAATCATAGGTGTCTGGGTTCTATCTCCCGTGTGAAGTGGGATAATAAGGTGAGCAATGTTAAGGTTAGGCGTCGAGTACTAGGTAAGGAGGGGAAATCAATCGACGAGGCTGTGAAGCTGCATCGACTGAGATGGTTAAGACATGTGTTACGTATTCCTAGCCGTCGCCTTCCTCGACGAGCAATGTTAACTGACATAAGAACAGTTTAGGAAAGAGCCACTGGTGGTCAAACTAAAACATGGCTTCATAAGTGAATGAAATCCAAAACAGCTAGTTTAAGCGAGCCACGTAGGGAGATGTAGGCTTCCTGATTGGTTCGGGTCTTCGGGACAGTGAAAACGAATGACTGGAGACAGTTGGTGATATGGTTCAAAATCGTTCTCAATGGCTGGCGCAGATGCATCCACTCGTGACTTATAATACCCAATAAAACCGCATTGTTCTTCAATATTACTATACTTTTTGCTTCATATCTCTGTTTTGAATCTCTTTTTACTTTTTTCTCTTTCTTTGTGTGCTACATGGAGTGTGGCGACTTGAACTGCCGTACATCGGTGCAAAGTTCTATGTCGAAAACAGAACAGGTGTAAACTTTCATAGACTAGAGTCGCCATCAAACTATTACAACACATATATAAAAAACAGCAAGGCAAGAACACGACTGAAATAAACTTACTCAAATGAATTTAAACTATTTGGTTTGTGAACATAATTTGTAGGCACGTAACCTAATTGACCAGCCATATTTCTAACATACCACCATTGAGCATTACTCTGATTGACTACATAATATTTTTCACCTTTTTGTAAAGGTAATTGATTTTCTCTTACAGGATTATAATTATGTACTGCAATGACTGTATTCTCTCCTTCATCCTATAGAAAGATAATATACAAATAGGCGGAAAGTAGTTGTTATCATTTTGAAAAGAAAAGAAACATAAAGTAAGAATGTATATACACGAAATAAACAAATATTAAAATACGCGAAACAGGATATATGACATCTTACATTTCCTGTATGCTCCTCAAGTAAGCCTGCTTAAATCGCTGGGTTACCTCTAATTGCCATCCAGCACAATGCAGGCATAAGTTGGATCGATAGGAAGACTACAAAAGATCAGGATTTTGCGGATGATTTATACCTGATGTCACACAAACTCGAAGACTTACTCGTGAGTAATAACAAGTTAGTAGAAGAAGCACCGAACACAGGACTTCAGGTGAATATAGAGAAGTCGGAGGTGATAAAGATAACTAACCGACAACAGCAAGCAGCAGTCACTATCGAGGGAGTAAATTTGAAAGAGGTCACGTCCCTAATTTATTTGGGCAGTATCACGGCAACTGCAAGTGGCACTGATCAAGCTGTCAAAGCCAGTGAGGATCGGAAAAGCAAACCAGGCGTTTGTTACAATGAAATCGGTTAGGAAATCTGCATCCAGCATAAGGGACAAAATCAGGATTTACAAAACTAATGTTAAGTCAGTCAGCACTTTTATATGGGTCAGAGACTTGGAGTGTCAGGAAAGGCATTTCCTACAAGATGCTTCAGACTTTCGTCAACAGCTGCTGTGACTGGCTCGATACCGAAGACCGAAGGAACCCTGACAACGGACCAACCAAGAACCTATCGCCCAGCAAATATGCAGAAGGAAACGGAAATGGAAAGCACATACTATGAGGAGACCCTTGGATGACATCACACGCCAGGCAAACCCTCGAATGGAACCCAGCTGGGGAACAAACAGTTTGTCTTGGGTCCGAAAGTGGCAAGGAGAAGATCGTCTAGGGGGGGGGGGAGATTATAGCTTAAGGGCAGTCATGAAGCCAGCTGAAGAGGACTGCAGAGAACAGGACGAAATGGAGATGTGGTGTTGAAACCCTAAGTTCCAACCGGAACCCAAAGGAATAATAATATTATATTGTATGAACTGTTTGCCATTTCTTACTGCATAAATTATCCTATTACGTTTTTAGATCACTACTTGAACTTGCACAGCTTTTAGTTTGTTGTCAACACAATGAAGAGAGCTTATTGAAGGAAATGAGGGGGAAATATCGTAGAGGGCTAGATACTGTTTCATATGGAACAACAGTCACATGATGTACTGCCCAATACTATTTTACTTGAAGAGTGGATATTATGCAATTCAAATACGCTTAAAATCATATAGTATGTGTTAACATATTCTCTAGAATAAGGCTGTTACTGTAGTTATTAAACGAGGTGTAGTGATAAAATAATATAAAACACAGGCACGTGAGCTTCGAGTGAAACGTTAAAAAAAGTAACAAATAAGGGAGGATATTAGTAATAAAACCTTGGCGTGTCTCGGAAGACAAATGACAGGAGACAAAAAATAAATAAGTACAGGATAGCAAAGTCTTCCTAACAAACAGTATGCTTTTTTGCATAATAATGAAACACGATTAGCGATTCCAAATTCCTCACATAGTCTAAATTCCTCATGAAGTCTGATGATCACTGACTCTGTACGGTGACACAGCTTACTGAAATTACGTTAAGGAATTCCCCCCCCCCTCACACCTCTAAACCTTCATACAACTAATACGGCTGATTAAACGTGTATAAGTTGTGTGGACAGCCTTCTTATATAGATGCAGGGGACATTTGAATGACTGCTATTCCCTGTCTGAAATTCAGTGGTTTGCGCACAAACGGCTGACACCTTATAACATATATAATTAAAATTAATCTTTCTCCCGTACATTTACGTGTACTTTAGTTTCCTTGCATTTTTTCTACCTTCATGAGTGCTCTTATGAAGTGTAGAAACTTAGACTGGTGCACTATTGTGAAAAGCTGCAGACTAATAATTTGGTTCACCTATCATCTATCACAGCAGACGTAAGTGCTATGTAACTACTTCTATTTTAAGTTAGAACTTCTCCAGGCAACAGACAACCACCACAATCCAAAGACGTACGTTTTAGTAATAAGTGACTAAACTAGCAGTATCTGTCAAAGAACACTAGGTCAAAAATTATTGTTTAGTATGGCACAGAAAAATGTTAATAATTTTATTTTTATTTATTTTATTTTTGATTTACAGCTTGATTCCACACTGTATTTTCGGTACAAGTATGGAATTTTCAGCATTACACACTAAAACGATATCAGTAGGTTAATAACGATTGAAAGAGAGAAAAAATGCCTACATATGAGGAGATCCTTTACTTTTGCAAATGAAGAAGTATATAACATAGTGAAACTATCATCTTTAATATCTTAAACAGGGCATAGATCATATCTTCACTCTTCGACAGATTCTAGAATATAGACACACTTTTTGGCGTCCAACAATTGACATATTTCTTGACTTGAAGGCGGCCTTCGACTCCGTGGATCGAAAGGTACTATGGCGATGTCTGACTGTGAAAGGAATGCCAAGAAAGTACATTTCACTAATCAAGGCACTCTATTCAAACTCACGTAGTCGTGTAAGGGCTTATAGGGAATTGTCATCTGAATTGGTAACAACCAGTGGTGTCCGACAGGGATGTCCACTTTCCCCATTTCTGTTTAACTTCGTCATATGTATGCTAACGGAAGTATCCTTAACTGAACGTAGTGACTTAGGAATCGACTTGTTACCAGGGAATAGTCTTATGGACTTAGAATATGCAGATGACATAGTCCTGTTAGGGGAGGATGATGACAAAATGCAGAGTCTTCTGAACACCTTGAGTAGCAATCTTCGTATGTTTGGCATGCGATTTGCCCCTACAAAATGTAAGATGCTGCTACAGGACTGGACCACGTCAACCCCTAACTTAGTGATAGGGAGTGAAGTGATAGAACATGTTGACCACTTCACCTATTTGGGAAGTTGTATCAGCGCCAACGGACTGATTGGCGATGAAATCTCAGCACGGATCCGAAAAGCTCGAGCTGCTTTCGCTGACTTACACCATCTCTGGCGTAGGCGTGACATCCGGTTATCAACCAAGGGACGTGTGTACTGCTCAGCAGTTCGCTCCGTCCTTCTCTATGGCTCTGAAACATGGCCAATACGCGTTGAAGACATGAAAAGGTTGACTGCTTTCGATCATAGATGTCTGCGATCTCTGTCTCACGTTAGGTGGTATAATAAGGTAAGTAATGTTGACATTAGGCGTAGAGTGTTGGGTAAAGAGGGAAAATCAATCGACGAGGCTATAAAGTTACATAGATTGAGATGGCTAGGTCACGTGCTGCGCATGCCTAACCATCGCCTCCCCTGACGGGCATTACTACCTCATATAGGTGCAGGTTGGAAAAGAGTAAGTGGTGGTCAAACAAAAACATGGCCTCATCAATCCATGAAATCCTCGACAGTTAAACTGAGTCGGTCAGGTAGGGAGATGCAGACTTCCGGGTTGGGGCCCTCGGGACTGACTCTAGGAATCAATGGCTGGAGACAATATGTGACATGACTCAAAATCGTTGTCAATGGCCAGCGGAGATGTATTCAGTCTCTGTAATCTTTCATATTCCTTTCTACCATTACCCATTCTGTTTCACTCTTATACTTGTCAGACTGTATTGATTCTCTTCACTCATCTTTTTGTCTACCTCTGTGTGCTATTTGGAAGGTGGCAACTCGAACTGTTGCACTTCGGTGCCAAGTTCTATGTTGAATCCAGACAGACAGACATCTTAAACAGGAGATAAATATGTAATCAACTCCAAGAAATTAGAACTACTTTGGTGTGGTTGCGTTCTCTGAGCTGGTTGATATAATTGCGAAGCTTTTATTGTCCAGCTAGGTAACATCTTCACCAAAAGCCTTAATGTTATTTCAAAATTGAGACCATATTACGACATCAAATGTGAAATACAGGTAAACACTATGTTTGCTATGTGAAGCTGTTGTCCACTTATCTAGGCACTAGACTTCCAACCATGTAGTTACGGGGTTGGAAACTCGCTTCACCTATAGAGGCTTGGACAGCCAGGTAGTAATACCAGACCTAACACAATAGGTGTAGCTTTTTGCCAACTGCATACAGTTGCAAAAGGGTTGCTGAGTAATCTTACATATTTTCTATAAAATGGGTGAGTACATTTAGATAACCAGTTAACAAAAAAAAGCCTTAACCAAAATCAAAAGTGAATACTTAAGTACAGTAAACAAAAACTGATAATCCATATAAAGACGGTAAGACATAAGTTGGTTATAACAGATTATAACGGAAAGCTTATCTCTAGGATGGCAAGAACCCTGAAAACAACAGTTACTACCGCACAGCAAACCATATGCATGTTAACTAACTTGCGTATGAACTCCACCTGTTATTTAAGGGTCGACGATTCCACTTTGCTACCTAGATCTCGGCAAGAAGATCAGGAATTTAGGCCATGACTTTCTGGTTGAAATTGAAATACCTAGTCCGCTGATCCACTTTAAGAATCCTAAGTAAACCTATCAAAATTCGATTAGCTTTTTGGCTTTGCGTCGAAATTAAAAATATATCCAGACAAAACAATTCTCTACAACATAATTCTAACTTTCTAGGCACTAAGGTGTGGCTATTTGACATAAACACTCGACTACCAGCCAGTGGGTCAGATGATTGCATTTCGTTCCCCCTACTTCAGCCCTGAAGCAATTGGGTAGTATCATCAGACATCAAGCACACCAAGTATGACTCACTACCTAGTACCGGGTAACTGAGATCTAACTATCTAACAACAGGTTCAAAAACTTTGAAGAAGTCACAGATCACCATATAGAAGATACTAAGTTTATGAGATGAAAGGTATTCTCTCTTTTGTTAATTAACAAATGCTTTCCTTCAATATTACAATCCTGCTTATTTTATTGGCATCAAAACTGGTAGGGAATACAAAATTAACTAAATTATACCAACAATGATTATTCGCTTTCAGTGAAAAAACAATCACCTGTTAATCAATAATGTATGTTAAAGAATCTGTGTATTGATTCACCTTGAAAATTTGGAAACCTTGGATACAGTAAGCGATACACGAGTGAAATATAACCATTATCATAAACTCATTTACATAAACCGGTTATATCACGTAAAAAGGAAAGCGTAAGACAGAAAGTCGAAGACAAAATAAGGGATAGAAACTAATGAAAGCATGAATGCAATCAGTGACAGATGAGAATATGAGAACATGGAATGTTCACACGATGTTCGAGGCTGGAAAGGCTGCTTTGATTGCAAAATAAGTGAGGAGATATGGCAAAGAAGTCCTAGGAAACTACTGAGGGTAGATGGAATAGAAGTGGACTCTACAAATCGTTAACTGGAGAGTTGACAACCTACTGCAACCATCCAGGTGACAACCAAGGGCACATTCAGTGGAAGGTTATCATGGTGCCACCAAAAGCATCGAAAACTCTTATCTATCGGCAACCAATCTCCTCCGGAATAATGGAAGATTCAATTCATAAAGAAGAAAAGTTATAGTTATCCAATGTAGTGCTACGCTCGGACAAACAATGCAGGTCAAGAGTAGAGGGAAGACTTCTACAGACAATTCTAAACAGTAATGGACAAGACCTCAAACGGAGATAACAAGAGCTAATCGGAACTTAAGGGAATAATAAAAAAAATTGTAATAATACATTACATTGCTAAAAGAAGTTTTACCATCAATGTCTTTTATTTGTCGTCTACCTGCTGCACGAATAATACCGATAATCAATGGTATTTTCAGGCATAACAATGACGCTTTGTTGATTTCGTATGAAATGTTTTCATATCTCACTTAAGTACATTTTCGCCATGATTCATTCAACTTAACACATTTATCCGAAAGTACGAATTATCTACGGAAGATTTGCTCGATCAATGTCTGACTAACTCAATAAACTTTCACAGCCTGTCGAAACCAATAATTAGCTTGCACGTCCTTTCTCAAAAAAGGGATTATGATAAATTGACATTAACAGTACAATCATATGGATGCATCAAACAGAAGCATAAATGATATAAATAGTTTCTATTATGAATGCACTTCAGAACTCGAGAAATAAATTAGCTCTTACCATATCAAAAGTTGGTTGAATATAACGCAAAGAATGTCCTCGATTCTGATTCATTCCTGACCGACGTAATGCATTATTTAGATGCGAAAATTGGCCAACATTGCTACTTGCAAGCATGGCAAGTTGTTGTTGCTGTTGTTTCTGTTGTAAGAGGAACTGCTGTTGTTGCTGTTGTATCTGAAATAAGGTTGAAGGCGCAACTGAACTGGTTACCGCAGTAGGCATTAACACCCCTGTAACAGGAGCTGAAAGACCAGGTGTTTGATGAAGTACAGGTAACCCAACGGCAGAAGTCAGTGGAATAAACGAAGCTGCAGTAGAAGCAACATTAGTAGAATTCAAATCAGGGACAGACATTGGATTAGATGTGAGTTGTATATTTGAATTAAGCTGGACTGTAACCAATTGAGGATTGGAAATAGGATATGAGGCTTGTGTGTTGGGCACAGGACTGGTTGTAGTCACAACCTGAGTCATTTGAGGTTGAAAATTACTTGAGTCAACACCTGCAGCTGTACGCCAAAGTTGTTCAATGACAACCGATGGACCCGGTTCGTTAGTTGGCTGACATCCCATAGAACGACGGTTAATATCATCACAGCAACTATATCTACCAGGACGCTTCCAAACACCGGGATGATAGCGTGGTAGGAAAGCAGCACCTCGTTCACGTGTATCTGAAATATTCACAAACATTTCAAAAGATATGCTCGTAGAAATGATTACGCGTAAGAATAGTTTATTCACATTTAGTTGAAATGACTTACAGAATCGGACTAAACTAATCCAATCATCTCTTTCAATAGCAGAATTCGCAACAATGTATAATAGGTACCAAGTACTGGAAATTGCATCCTCTGCATAAGCAACCTTTTAAATTAAATAAGGATTTGGATAATTGTACACATACTTGAAAGGCATTCTTTTTATTATCAAGCTCATCATCTTGTACTTTTTCAATAAACTTAACATGACTCAGTAAAAGCTGACCTTTTTCTTTACCACGACTCTAAAACCAAATAACATTGAATCTCTTTTAAAATAGACTTACTCCACCACTAACTTCAAAATACCGGATACAATATGGTTGCAATACGAATTCGCGCAGTTTGTAATTATCACGACCGAATAACTTCTTATTTTGAGATCTTTTTGTCATACGAGAAACCTTGAGTTCTTGATCTGTAGAAATCATTATTTATGATCTGTTAAACAAGAAAACAAAATAAATCAAAAGTCTGCAGAAATGTTTTGGTTTTTTAGACAATCTATTGAAATGAACTTGTGAACTAGGGATTTCGAATTTTAAAAATGAAAGAAAAAACATGTTCGAAGGATACGAAGAAAACCGGACAAAGAGAGAAGAGTAAATTTCTAAGGAAAACGATAAAAAGCGTGATACGAAGCTTTGCTTATTAGGTGAGTTTTGGTGGGACAAAATAGCTGTGCATTTAGAAAAGCAATCTCTTACAAAACCAGAATTCTTAATTTAATGTGATGCATGCTATACGTATTATCCGACAATGTTACGGTTACCGAATCCTAAATAATACACATGTACGTACACATCAATAAGAAAATAACCTCAAAATTCGTAAAACTTAAGTTTTATTCCTACTTGGTAGCACTTGAAAAGTTTAGCAATGCTTTAGGACTGTCATGATTTTTTATTACCTTACTCGTTAACCTATGGAAAATAGGCAGTGGATTTTACATGATAATGTATTTAAAAAAGAAAAGAACTTAATCGATTATATATTTTACGTGGTAGAGTAATAGATGCTTCCTAAATTGGATGAACTGGAACAGACTATAAATGTACCTCCGGCAATACGTTAAAAACACGTCTCTGGGTTTCCAAGTAACTTATGCAGACAGATTGAGTTTGATGATCATATTCACTCATCTTACTCATTTTTGATCAGCATCTAATTAGGCAGACATACTTCCTCACTTAATGGTGGTCGACGCCAATCCAAGAACTATACTGGCTACTAACCATTGTAGAAAGGGATTAGAGGTCTTTTCCGGAGTAAACACTGAATTCGAAAATGTGAGCATTACATCCATGCTACGGAAGGAAGCAGGCTAAACATTTATGTGAAAACCAAAGACTGAAGTCACATTTATTACGTTGGACAAAGATGGGAGCGGTTAGTAACGTGGAGGCGCATACACTGTGTAGCATTTCTTGTCATCTTACTTTACTACTGCGAGATATGACGATTGAGGACTGATACGAAACGATTAGGGGCTCTTGCTATACATGCTTAAGTTAAGTGGGGCTATGTGGTGGACAATAGTGAGATAATGCGCAGAACGTTAGATAAAGAGGAAAAGTAAATGTATGGAGTTGTAAAGAACTATTGACTGAAGCTGAAATATGCTCTACACACATCGAGTTACTGCCTTCTTCAGCGAACAATTTTATTTAAAATAAGAGTAAGTTTGACAATAGCTACAACGAAAAATGGCACCTAACCTTCAAGTCATTGTTTGTTGGTCTGCATCATAAATGGAGGTATACAGTGCTTTTCTGGGTGCATTGGGGCGTTAGGAATCAAAGGTTTTAGACTCCCGATAATATAAATCAACATGGTTCACAATGGTGCAGATACAGTTACTGTTATATTCCTAATTATGAAAATATTCACTATTCATTTAAACACTGCTTTATAATTCTATCTGCAGGATTTATGGCATTTCTTCTGCCATCTTTTTTGTGCTTTCTTGAGTTTGAGATGTGGTTCGCTCCCTCTGTCAAACGCAAGATGATGCTACAGGAGTGGATTACATTGACACACCTAGCTTAAAGATAGGCAGGAGAGAAGTCGTAGAGAGTGTTGTCCACTTCACTTATTCGAGAAGTTGCATCAGCCAGTGACAGCGGGTTAATCCCTCACGAAATCTCAGCATTGATACAGAAGTCTCATTTGGCATATGCCAACTTACACTATCTCTAGCTTAGTAGATGTGATATCCGGCTAGCTGGCTATCGACCAGGGGACGTGTACTGCACAGCAGCAGTTTGTTTCGTCCTCTTTTACGGCTGACTGTTAGCGAGACATTCCCACTGGAAGTGGAAGACATGAGCAGGATTGTTACCAGTTTTTGATCATACGTGCCTGCGTTCCATCTTCCGTGTTAAGCGATATAATAAGTTGAGACATATTGGGGTGAGAGGGGGAATCAATTGATGGGGATGTGAAGTTACACCGATTGAGAGAGATGGTTAGAACATGTGTTACGCACGCATTCCTAGTCTTCGCCTTCATCGACGAGCAATTTTAGCTGACATAAATTCAGGCTGGAAAAGAGTTAGCTAGTGGTGGTCACATCAAAACATGGTTGCATCAGTCATCCACAACAGTTAGTTTAAGCCAGCCAGCCACGTAGGGAGGTGTACACGGGCTTTCGGGTTGGGGTCCTCAGGATGGTAAGAACCAATGAAGGCTAAAGACAAATAACTGTTGATATGGCTCAAAATCGTCCTCAATGACTGACGCAGATGTTTTCACTCATTGTGGTTTATAATATCCAATAAAACCATATTGTTCTTCTATATTACTATTCTTTTTGCATCCTATTTCTGTTTATTACCTCTCTTTACCCTATTCTCTTGCTTTGTATGCTACATCAAGAGAGAGTGGGAACTCAAACTGCTGCACATCTGTGCAAAGTTCTACGTTGAAACCAGTCAGTCAGCTTTCCTCAAATGTAGCAACCTGAAAAATTATGCTTTTATGTTAAGCTTTATGGTAACATGCAATCAAAGTTTATTAAACAGTTGTGGGTAGTATCACATGAACTGACTGATGGCAAAAGACTGATTCTAATGAACTGACAATGAATAGTAGTAGGTGATGAAAATGGGCACTTCAAAATACCCATAAACTAATTAGGTCTATTAAGACAGCTGACTACGATAAGTAGATCATTCTATGATAAGGCTGGCTTCCTAATGGCCTCTATTTATAGAGGTTGAACTCCATCTCACAGAGCAATTCAAAAAGTACACAACTAGTAATACAGATATCTACATTTAATCGAAGTGCAGACATTTTAATTTCTGCACTGGAGTAGAGAACCTGAAAGCTGAACCTTTAAATGGTAAGTGCCCTTAGTTAGATGTGTGAGAATGAGGATCAGTTTCTTTGCTTTAAGTTGATGATTGGTTATTCCGATTTAGTAGAATAAGTAAAAGTCGCCATCGAAATGACCGCACTATTACCTTCATTAAGTCTAAGATTAGATGACTTATAATCGTTTGAAATCTAACTGCATCAAAAACACACAAAAAACCAAGAGCGCCTCTAGGTAAGAAATGGATGCTTTTGTCTCCACGCTCTTATGGGTTCTATGATAAGCGGTGTTCAATACTAAATAATTGACTTGGTAATAGCTTTTACTACTGACGGAAAAAAGTATCAGAGTAAATGTTGACGTAGACACAGTAGACCAAGGGGTGCATTCACAAGTAAAAATTCACGGAAATATTTAGCGACCGTTCCCTTTAACCAAGTTTTCCCTTAGATGACAGTTTTTCTATCTCGCATATAGCTTTTATTTTGATGCATGCATTAAGAGGTGACTTGTCAGTCATTCCGTTTACCAATGATTGAAGGCTTTGTCAATGTCCAGAACTGGTAGGTTGACAATTAATAGCTCCGTCCAGTCTCTGAAGTAGATGGAGTAGTGTTTCCCGCCACTTATCCGACAACTGGCATATTGACAGTAAAGACAAATCAAATACACACTTCGTGTCGAAAAGAATAGGTGAAGCTACTTGGAATGCCAACCCAGATCTTAATTCACATTACGGAACTCAATTTTACCGTATCTACGTCACACATGTCTGGAAGCTTTTGGAGGAAGAGCTATAAATTCGAAGAAACAGTACGTGATGCCTGGCAGTGAAAAGAAAGCCTAATATCATGGAGTCGCCAAAATTCAATTACATAGGGTTGAACAAAGTCATAAGAAGGGTTACATTGCATGTTGTACGGCACAACAACTGCCGATTCCACGCAAGCAGAAACATGTGTGACTTACCCTTCCATATCATGCGTCTTTGGGATCACAAAAGAATGTAAAGGCAAATGGAAGATACCAAATGCCACGGACTACGCCACTAATATGTGGTATGAGAAAGGCCTTCGACACATCCGATGAACTAATGCACCCAACAGCTAAGACTCCAAAGACGAAGCGCAAATTTCGAATTGCCGCATTTGTATGGTAAAACTAGATTGTTTCTGCAATGGTCAGAATAATCGTCTCACTTTGCTCTAATTATTCCAATAGCATTTCCCCATTATAAGTATACGTATTTTTTGAAGATCGCAGGTCGAACGAGAGGATACAGCTTACTTAAGTAAAATTTACTCAGATACATTTTTTAATGAAACATGGTTATTCTGGTCATTGTGCCCAAATGATGTCGACAGGTGGTGTTTCCCTAAGTTACCTGTCATTTTCCAGGCCCAAAAACACAATAAGAGGACAAAAAACTACAACTGTACACTGAGAGTAGGCTAAAGATACAAAGAAGAAGAGTACGTAAAATGCAAATGATTCCGATGACATCATGAGTTGCAGTTCATTTAGGCAATTAGTTAAAGGATTTAGAAAAATATGTGAAATTCCGTTTTATGATGGTGATATCTTACAGTTCTCAATGGACTTGTTCCATGTGAATGGAGAACAAAAAGTCGAATCATAGTGTGAATAGCACGTCCAGAAAACAAACGGGGTCAGTACTGTTGCAACAGCAGAAGGCAAGGCACGGAAGTCAAGGTATATTTTCGACTTAATCAACCACTGAGCGTGTGATTTTGGTTTATATTAAACGACATAAAATAGAATGTTCAGATAAATATAGTATTCCTTTGTCCATGTAGTGCATATGCGTGAGAAGGGTATTCTGCCTCTAATATCACACAAAATGTTCAAATAGATATATCGTGTTGTGTTGCTAATGCCGAATTAGACTGTGGGAATATGCGAGAATTATATTACGTTGGACCCCATTTTCCGTATCACACCACCATACTGTTAAGAAGGGATGAGTACTCAGCTCCACTTTGTCCAATCTTCTTCTCTCCTCTTAAGCTAGGCCTACGATCGACCATAATCTCTCATCTCATCACACGATCTCTTCCATGTCACCCTCGTACCGACGACCCACTCGTCGCT